GAGAGGAGGGAAGGATGTTTACCGTTAAAATAATGTGAGTTTGGAAATTGCGACTTTAAAACCAGTATGTAGTCATATCCTGTTCACACAAAACTTGGTGCTGGTCGACATTTCAAGTTTAGCAAAATACCGTACAGTTGAAAAATAAAATAGGACATGAGCATGACGATCGAGCCGACAAAACAAAATAAAAATTTCTCGGTATCCACTTATGCCTCTGACTCGAAAAGTAACTTGGGAAAAGAAATGTGTTCTCTCAAAATTTATCGCGCTCATTTAGTCCCTGTGGGGGGGTTCGGCGCCCTCCACAAAACGTCGCATACAGACGTTTTGCGTCGCAGTCGTGCAGTGAACGACGAAGCAAAGTACGAATCAACCCCAGCTGCTAAGATTGATCCCAAAGTACAAACAAGCGTGATGCTCATGCAGAGCTGATGTTTTGCTCATAAAGGGTGGATTCATTTGCAGCATACCCGTAAAGCCGTCACATTCAATTGCAGGAATTTGAGGCCCCGTCCACGCATATCCGGATATATACATTTTTTAAATCGGAGATTTATTTGTCCATTTTAGCCTTCCGTCTACACGTGATCGGCATTTTCGGGCGCCGAAGAAGCAGGTTTTCATAAATGGTCCAAAGAGTGGAGATTTTAGAAACCGACGTGCGGATGGACGAATACAGAGGATTTAGAATACAACACTGCGCATGCTCTGTAAATGGCTGCTATCGTATTTTAATCATTTTTAGCGTTTTTATGTGGACGGGCGAAAAAGATTCAAATACGCTTTTGTGTGGACGCGTATTTCGGATACGTGTGGACAGGGCCTTATTGTTTTTAACTTTAAGAGGAATTAAAACAATGTAGCGGGCAAATGCCACAGCTATGCTCGTATACTGCAAATGTGTGCACCCCTTTATAAGGTAACAAGATACTTACCAGCCTGGGGTTTTCCCGAAGGTGTTGTACAACAGTTCGGCGTAACTCATAATGGGAGATTTGAATCCTTTGATGAGGTCAAGCTGCTCTGAAAGTGCAAAAAAACATGCAGTTTCCTCTCCTTGATTGTCAGATATCGCAAAACCTTTTTTCCAACGCAGTCTTCTTTTAACGCCTGCGAAAGCTCAGTCTTGCTGGACTCTGTGCGTGCTTGCAGCAGGATTTGTTGAAGTGTACGGAAAATGAGTTCACCTGAAAGCGGAAGATGAAAAAGACAAAATAAGATAGAGGTTATTTCACGCCAGTTTTGTAGGAGATGATGATAATGATAATGATAATGATAAAGAATTTGTATGGTGCTAGAACTATAAAATATTCAAAAGCGCTTCACATTAAGTTACAATTAAAAAAATTCCTAAAAAGCTCATAATAACGATAATAATAATAATAAAAAAATTCCATGCTATGCGAAAAACTAAAAAGTCTAAAATTCTATACAAAATTAAAATTAAAATATTCAAGCACTAAACTTCAGAGTTATTCTAGTAAAGTATAAGCTTTCCTAAAAAGAAATGTTTTAAGATGCTTTTTAAAAATGGTGAAGCTGCTACGCGTTCTTATAGTCAGTGGCAGCGAGTTCCATAAAACAGGTGCAGCACAGTGCACTAGTCTGAAACTTACAACAGTCGACAATTTCAGAAAAATTACTGTGGTTTTAAAAGAACAAAGTAACTGCACTCTACTGCAAAAATATATTTTGGCTTTGGTTTAATTGACAAAGCAAACAATGACATCACCTGCCATCGGTCCTGTTGCAGCATCTTTTTCAAAACCATTCTGTGGAAGATCATCTTGGGTTTTTTCAACACCTGTAAAGTTTAAAATTAGCAGTGAATTTAAGTGGTTTGGCCTGTAAAACTGGGATTCAAACCCAGCAAGCACTGGAGACAAGAGCTCCCGGACTGATATTTCAGTGTCTGATGGTTAAAACTTACTATTAAAAACCAGATAAACTGGGATTCCAGCCCAGCAAGGGGGACAGGAGCCCCAGGACTGATACATTTCGGTCTAGGATAGTTAAATCATTATTAAACTAGATAAACTGGGATTCCAACCCAGCAAGCATGGGAGACAGGTGCTGCCAGGACTGATATTGTAATCCATGATAGTTAAAACTTACTATTAAAATTAGATAAAAAGGTATTACAAGCAAAAGAGACAGGTGCTTTCAGGACTAATATTTGAGTCTATGATAGTTAAATCATCGTTAAAACTAGACAAACTGGGATTCCAACCCAGCGAGCAAGGGAAACAAGAAGAAAAAGAAGAAGAAGAACATTTATTAATTTATGCTGCTCAGGGTAGCCCCTTCAGACGCAAAAGCTGTCTGTTATCAATGGGAGCCCTGAGCAACAACGCACAAAAGAGCAAGGAAGACAGGAGCTTTAGGGACTGATATTTCAGTCTATGATAGTTACATCGCTATTAAGACTAGATAAACTGGGATTCCAACCCAGCAAGCAAGGGGGAGACTGTAAGCGGGAGAGGGAAACAGTTATTTTACATATACGTCAGTTTACTCGGAGATGCTACACTAAACATTGAAAAGCTAAAAGCATCCGAATAATCGAAAGCACCCTTGTTCAACAGAAGAAAATAACCTCACTCTTACCTGCCATCGGTCCTGTTGCAGCAACTTTTTCACAGTCGTTCGGTGGAAAGTCACCTTCTTTGTTTTTTTCAACACCTGTAAATTAAAAAAAAGTGTTGATTATAACAAAAAAATGTCACTTAAAAAAGGAAGATTCCAACCTTTAAGGCTTCCATTCATTTTTGTTATAAGTTATGACCCAAAAAGTTTGGCTGGGCTTTTTTGTTATTTTTTTTTATATACAAGAGAACCCCAAAATTGCTGCCGAATAGAAATCAGACGACTTTGATGTATCGCAATGTTATAGATTTTAATTTTCTTTTTATCGTTAACTCCTTCAAGTGTAGCCAACATTTTATAAAATTATACATAAAAGTTTTAAAGAATAGAATTGATAAGCCGGTAAAAAGATCTTGATTATTAAACAAATTCTCCTCATCAGTAACACAAGATATGTATGGAGAACAGTGTGGAGAGTGTGAATGCTAACATTAAGGTTAAAAAGGTTAACGACAATAGCGATGCACGTGGACCACGAAACATAATATAGTAAAAAATGTATTTATGCACTCGCTATTGCAGAAGCCATGGCCATACAGTGATGAAAGAAGAAGGTCAAATGAAGGATAATCCTGATAAGATATGCATTTTAACATTTTCAAGTACTAATTATTATTATTATCGTTACTTTTCTATCGGTAAATTTGATTTCTTACCATAGACCATCTTCCACATTTGCAACAAGGGCCTGGCACTGTCTGTCCCAAGAGAATCTTTCATCATAACTTATTCGGGCAGTCTTTGGATTTCCTCAAGCCGCTGTGTCCTTGATTTTGACGGATGGCTGCAATTGCCTTTGCCCATTCCTTGGGGTCATCAGAGTCGATCACAAAAGAGACTCACCCATTGGAAGACCACGCAGTGCTTTTCCATATCCGGAGTTTCCACTAACTAGAATGGGAAGACCAGCTGACATGGCCTCTAATGCTGTCAAACCAAACCCCTCAGTTCTGATGGCATGATGGCCAGATCAACTTCACAAAACAACTCTCTCAATCTTTTTTTGTCTTTCACAAAATGATCTCACAATCAGCTGGTTCTTTGAAATGCCAGTTTGGAGTAAGAGTTCTATGACTTCATCCTGCTTTCCATCGGAAGCACCAACGAAAACAAGGCTATAAGTACTGTCCTTCAATTCAACTATGGATTGAGCGGCAATGTCGTATCCTTTAAGACTGAAGTCTTCCAAATCACCGCGACCAAAGGTCAATACTCTGAAATTTACACCATCTTGTGCAGCATGTTCAATATCTGGAAACTCTGCAAAGGAACCTGGTATTAATTGAAAGATGTCTCGATGAGATGAACGCAACTTGCACGCGATCGCTTCTTTTAACTTGGGTCCAACGGTTACAACGAGATCTGCAATTTGGACAAAGGTCAACTTCCGCTCTGTTCTTCTCTTCCCTTCGCAATGGCGCTTGATATTTTATGCATCGCAAGCTCTTCAGGCTCAGTGTGAACAACCTGCACCCACTTGCAGCAATGAGACTTTTGACAATTTGCGCTTGTCTACCAAGCTTTGCTCCATGGCCGATCACAACCTGATGTCAAGGTCATCTGGTGGAAAACTCAACCAGTCAAGAGGATCACTGAAGGCAGAAAGGCGCCCTGCTTCACGGATGGAAATGTTGTGACGTTTGGCAGCTCTTCTTTATCCCTTCGCCACACTCAAATTCAGGTACAAGAATGGTGACTTCTACGTTTGCGTCTTTTGCCAAATGTATGGCAAGAGTTCTGTTCATTGTTGACAGGCCACCCTTAGACGACCCCCACTCATTAGCGAGAAGTGTAACTTTCAGTACCAGACGCTCTGGACGAGCTTGTTCAGAATCAGGTGATGATGATAAAGTACACGCTTCCTGCATAGCAACCAAAATTGCATATTATAAAATGTAAATTTTTCATCTGGGGGTTTCTACCTTTTTGAATGAAAGTTTGCAAAACATGTTAACACGTTGGATGCTATAAACTTATTGCTCAACCACAAAGCAAACAGCACGTTAAAAAAGACTCGGGAAAAAGTTAGATACTACTGGTTAATGCCTATAGGCCAATAACAATTAGTAATACATGGTAGCCAATTGACCTTATCAACTTACATGATATTAAGAACCAATGTTGGTTAAGTTGACAGCAACAAAGCCTTCTATTACACTGCAGAGAAGCTTGCGGTAGGATAAATGAAGGCATACGTTGTATATCATACTACAACCTAACAAAGTACATGCATAGACTTTGTTGAAGCCTTTTTAGTTTAAATCAATGGCTACCTTTTAAGGACATAAGTTTTTATTAGTAGTATGTGTATTCGCTTGCTATATGTAATATGCTAAGAGCACTGCTAGAGATCGAATTTTACTGCTACCTACCTTACGTTCTATTTGTGAGAACCACTTTTGCTGCCCTGTAACTGTGAGTATCTCCTCTGCAGGTTTCTTTTTGCAAATCAGAGGATTACCTTGTTTTAACTCAAGGAGGTGAAGACAATCTTCATGAGAACATGCAATCTGATTATGGTTTGGACACTTTTCCCGCTGACAATACGGACAGGCGACCCGAATATGATACTGCAATCCACCTTTATAGAGATCACGTGACAAAGCTTGCAATGTTGCCTCCACAAACTCACGAACCTGCACCGCCACCTCACTTGTGCTTTCCACAGAGATCTGCTGAGGGTGGTTTCTTTGCTTGATAAAAAACTTAATAAATTGCTTCTTACAAATAAGAACAAAATCATGAAAAGTTTGCTTCCCAATAACAAACCACGCTCCATTTTGGTACAGGGTAGGGGATTGAGTTGGACCAGCCTCTGAACACCAATGGACAGATCGAGAAAGAAGCCGCGTGAACAGACCATGGGGAACAGAACCGCTGAAAAAGTAAACAAACAGGGGACAAGGGTCCAGCCTTGAGGGCACCATGGAACAAAGAGAATCAGGTGACACATTGAGTTGACATGGAACAAAATACTTTTCACCTATCTTTGAAGATGAAAATTTTGCAATCAATCCAAATTGTTCCATCAAATCAAGAATGTCTTTCCTGGCAACACCCTTCAGGAGAAAGTTGGAAAACACAAGATCAACCAGTTCCATTGAGAGAACACCGCTTTCTTTGACTTCCTTCCAGTACTTGGCAACCTTAGGAACCTAAGACGGAATAAGGTGAAGGACAATAACAAAGTTTTCTTTAAAAAGTGATAGTTTGGGAGAATTTTGAGCCAGTTAATTAATGCACTTGTAAAATGTTGGTTATTTTATTTAATATTTTAATTAACAAACAATGAAAAAGATCTAGAGTTTTCCTTTTTTGTGTGGGGACGCATATAAAGAAAAAGTTACGTAGTCTGCCTAGCAAGTACTACTGTGTGAATAAAAGTAAAGAGGATAGCCCTCTAAGCAGCCTTCCGTTTGGTTCGTCACACAATTCTTTCCTATCACGTTAGAAGATTTACGAAGTTAAGTTTTCTTTTACAACGTTCACCATAACCTCCCGCTTAGAGAAAACAATAGAAACGTGGTTGTTGTGGTGGAAGGAAACAATGTGAAACAATGAAATGTGGAAAAGGAAAAGGGATGTGGGAAAGTGGAAAATGTTTTCGTGATACAAATGGCTAGTGTGGCTTCGTACTTAACGATTTGAGCGCATAGTAAACCTGAACAACTTATTGAACAATGAAAGCGGTATGAAATGTAACTTGCATAACTACGTCACAGGCGAGTTAGCGCTTATTCCTTCGACAACCTGAATCAACCAATGAATACTTTTCCTAGTTCTTACATGTAGTCGTCAACCAATCAAAAAGCAAGACCTTCTTCTACCAAGAAACAACTGGAAACCCTGTCCAAAGGGTTAAAAATAGCTCATGGCCTTATCTTAAGGCCTGTGTTACCTCACCTACCTAGAGTCCTCCACCTCGACGTAAACTGGCCGTAAGATAAGGTCGTGTGCTATTTTTAACCCTTTAAAGAGATTCAACCGCATTTTATTCATGAGATAAAGACAAAAGGTTATGACGTCATCGGCGTTTATGTATTCCAGCGAAGATTCCACCGCAAAAAAGGCTGATTCTACGCCTAATATACTACTGAGGATAGACTACGAATAGAATACAGGAGCGTTTGTCACCTTCCTCGAGGGTTGACAAATTTCACGCGCGCTCGCGTAATTCGCTCGCTCCACTATTCCTGAGGAAGAGACTACTTGTAATCTAGTTGCAGAGGGTTGCGTAACGAGCCAAAAGGAGGTCAGCGTAGGAGACAATAATACTTGGTAAAAGCTAAACTTCTTCGTTTTTTTTTGTGTAGGTTGAGCAGTGTTATAAATTTTTCGCAATTCGCTCCTCGCGTGCATCAGTTTGGGTGGGGAAAATTCGGGCTTCCTCTCTATATACAATATATATTTTCAGTCTGTTTGGTTGTCCAATTTCATTGACCCTAGAAAAGGGGAAAATTGTTGTCTTACTGTTATCGGGTACCTCGTGACGTTACCTGATGTACATCGAAATTGAAACAAGAATCCTCTTGGGATATTACAACGTTCAAATAAAAAAGTGCAGTGAAAATGTTTCGTTGTAATGTTTACTCTTAGTGACGTCACTATAGCGGGTTGATTACAGGGACGACTGCTGACCAGGCGTTAGTACTAATTCAGTTGTTATAGGTTTGCTATAAGATTTCATTTCAGAATTACATCGCCTACCCTAACTTGTTTACACTGGGAAAATATTAAATAGCAGCCCAATCCACTACGATTTTGCTGTTTACAAATATTTGAGGAACAGTTAACATTTTCAAAAAGACAGCGGGCAATGCACTTGATATAATTATTTTTATTAGCTACAGCACGGTTGGAAGCCGGACTATAATAAACCTTGCAAGTTTTAAAACACGTTTAAAATCCATTTCTTACCATTTTCGTAAAATCTGGAAGAGTGATCAGCTGTCCGAACAAGTTTATCAGCCACTGGGTATTCAAGATGACTGTGCTACGGTGCTTGATAATTATCCCCAGGTCATGATAGAAATTCACCATGGTGGTAAACTCTTTCTCATCATGGATGAAGCACTTCTCCTTGGCATGGGTCCGTAGCTTTATACTCAGGTAATAAACTGGCTTGGAAAGCAAAGCGTCGATGACTTTCTCAAAGTTCAGCCACCTAGTTTACAAAACCAAAGAGAAAACTGATGGAGCTCGTTTAAACATCCATGTCAATCACTACACAGTATACCTGTATTGACTAATTAAAGTACAGGACCCAGTTGTGAGAAAGGTGGATAACTGTATCCACTGGAGAACTATCTGTGTGTGATCCACTTTACTTTACCTTTTTAAATCGACAATTGAAATGTACACAGTGCTTTTTGGTCAATTCGTAATAACATTATCAAACCCTTCAGGGTAGAATATTCTTTAAGGCCAGTCAAAACTGCTTTTCATGGTTAACTTGTTTCAATCAACGAGATATTCATTTCTTATGACCGCCAGGTGGCTCATACAGGAATCAATGAATATTTTCTGTTCTCGCCATAATTTTTTTATCCAAAGTTAAGGACTATACAACGAACCAGCCTTTTGATGTTTTGCGGCCACGCTTTTATGTAACGTCACAGTCAATGAGTTACTTATGACAGCTGAAACACATTTACATATCAAAGAAAAAATTTTACAAGGACTGGCGGAAACAAACGCCATACACGTAAAACGTAATCTCAGTGCGTTCACGGCCCAACTTTTGACATGGAAATTATTTAATATTTACTTTAATGGATTCTGAACATTCTGGTATAACCATTATTTACCTCACAGGTCTCCTCTCCCCAATGTAAGGCTCCTGTCTTAGCACTTCCATGATTTTTACTTGTAGAGCTTCGATCTCCTCAATGTTTTCGTCTTTCCCGAAAACCATTGTCTTGATCTTTCTTCGAGTTAATTTTGCAGTGTTGTCAATGCTGAAGATAGGCCGCACCACATGTCCTTCATAGTCCTTACCAGCAATTGCGTTCTGGATTTCTGTTTTCATTGTTGCAATGTCTTCAAATGGTTTGTCTGCATGAGTTCCTACAATGATCACTGGGGGGCGCAAATGAGACACCTCTTTTTCTACATCATCACAGGTTTTTCTTCTCATTTGCGCGACGCTGTGCACTGTGGACAGCCAAGACAACAAGGTCTCAAGATTTGTTTCTCCATTTGGGTTTTCCAACTCAACATTACGAGATCCTTGTCTCACACAGGGCTTGGCTGTGTCATGCAGTGACTTGCTGAGGTTGCACACCAAGATGTACAGCGCACGTGATGATAAAAATACAGGATGAGATGCATAATACAGGTGTTGTCCAGCAAAATCCCACAGTTCAATACTGACAACAGATTCTTCAGCCGTAAAATCTTCATCTTGTATTTCCTTTATCAACTGAACTGCTCGTTCCTTGATCTCCTCTGGAGGTGAAGTAGTATCAACCACTAACTCATGATCAGGCCCTGTTAATGTGGGTTCATTAACACTGTCTTCGTTTGGATCACCAACCTGAAGCAGAGTATGAAAAAAAGAAACAGAAAATAGCTGTTGATTCTGATTATGAAAGACTTAACATGGGTGGTTCGACTTTTGGGGGTGAAGAGGAATAATGGAGTAAGAATAACGGAATTTTTGTTGTTGTAAGAATGGAATAATGCCATTTTGTGGCGAGGAATAATGGAATAAGCAGATGTTTTCAACGGAATAAGTTGTTCTTTTTTACTGAAAGAATGGAATATGAAAAATGTTCGAGCTGGAATAATGGAAAAATGAACACTTAACTATTCCTCTTCACCCTCCGATTCGATTATTCAGCCATTTAAAGTTGTTTTTGATGACACAAAATTCTTAATAAGCTCAAACTTTGAGGCACGAATATTGGAAGCATGAGGTATCCACAACATTAATATGCTCTTGCATTTTTTAAGGAACAGTGAGTTTACGAATGCAGAGAAATATGGTGTTTGATTGAGTCCCCCCAGCCCCTTGGCTTTGCTCCTCGCATAAAAAAGAAAACAACACAACGAAATTGTGATACAACTTGACAACTGAACAAAATAAGGGAAAGCTATGCTCAAGGCCTAATTAACACTTAAAAGCATAAATAAAGATATGGCTAAACTCACTTTGGTTTGCACACGTACTACTGATCGACCCAAAGGCTAAGCTTACGTGTAGATAGGTACTATCATGGAAATATAACTAAATGGTTGATAGTAGTATCATTCTACACTCGGAACTAAACTTACAAGTGTAAAAACGCTGGTTAAAATTTTTAACCACCATCGGAAAACGAGCTAGAAAGCGATCTGGCAGTTGTTACGTATTTTCCATACGGGTACTGTGGCAAAAGGAGGGAAGTCACTATAACCTAACTTATGAAGAAGGGGATAATCAATTTATAATAACTACTGTTAGGACGGTCTTGCAGTAAGTAAACGATGGATTCACGAAAAAACATCACTATTCAAAACCAACAAAGACAAACCTGGTTCACAAGAGAAACTTCCTCCTTTTCTCCATCAGTATCAACCTGTTTCCTATTCTTGTTATCATCACTTTGAAGTATTGCTTCACCTCTTAACTCCTCCAAGACCCAGTCACGGTAAACTGGACTATGAGTATACATCCTTTCCGCCACCAACTGTGCCACATCTTTCGAACATCCCAACAATCCTTGCTTTCTCTCATCAATAGGTTGCCAATTCCTGACTTCACCAACGTCCAACTGAAATTTTGAGGGATCCACTTCAATTCCATCAGTACTTTTTTCTTTTCGATTAAACGGTAGACCAATGAGAGACTTCTTTAAACTTGTTTTTCCCGCCCGATCCTGCCCAATAAGCAATACTCGACCACGGTAAACATTAACAGCTCCATATTTAAGAGCGCTTTGATAAGCGAGCTGTGCTTTTTCTCCGCGTGCTCCTATTTCTAAAGGAACTAGTGAAAAAAAAAAACGGATGCTTATTAAAGGTACGTAATGTCTTAGAGGTTGCATAGTTCATTGACTTCTAGTTCACTTGACTGACCTAGGAGGGTCATGGGGGGCTACATCAGTGTTTATTGTCCTTCTTGTGATCTTTCACTACGGTCTCTTTAAGTTATTAAAACAAATCTATGGTAAAAATAATTTTACTGAATTTCAAATGTGGCAGATAAAATTAAATGTTGGTTATACTATTAAACAGTCCACCTGCTATTTTAACCTTTTTTTTTTACTGCGCTTACTTCAAGTCTCCATGCATATTCAAAACACCATGAATGGCGCGTAAAAATTTGCGTCACCAGAATTATAACTGTTGTTTGCATTCATGTGAAATGCCTGTACCTCTAAAAGAAACAATTATTCTGAACATCAACAAACTAACTTCGTTCTAATAAGCGCCCACTCTCTAATAAGCACCCTTATTGCATAAGCACCCTCGTTCCAACCCGGAGGGGTTACTGGGGTTAATTTTGGTTGGGTATGTGCCGCTGGCCTCTCAAAACCCCGACCCCATTATAGTCCATACTGTGGCGATATTATAGACCCCATCTTAGTCACTTTTGGAAAAAAGTAATTTTCGAAATCCCAAGTTAGTGAACCCCAAAATCCTGCAAATGTGCGACCCCGTTCCAGTAACTCTTATAAAAATATAATCCCATAATAGTCAATCCAGTCGTGAAAATGCGACCCAATCCAGCAGCACATGCCCATTAGCCTACTACTAGGAAGTACCCCACACCTTGGCATTCCAAGCGCCCCAATACCAATAAGCGCCGCTATTCAATCGCCGACTATTGTTCCATCCTATCGTGACAAGGTTGACCCTAATTCACGCAACCTGAGTGAACGGTCGCGAACGCTCTCGATTGTTAAAATCAACAAAGGGCCTACAGCACCAAAGATAGTGCCAAAGTGTATAGGTTTGAATGCCCGGTGCCTGGCAAAACCTGATGCAGCTCCCACTCTTTAGGCTGAGCTTAGTAACAATAACATTGATACTGTATTTCCTCGAATAATAGCCGGGAGCGATGACTATTTTCCTTCCACAAAAAGGAGTCGATTATTTGAGGGGCTGATTATTTAAAATATTGCTCACTGGAGGTCGTGCCCAAAATATTTTGTTTTATTATTCCATTCAAACCGAAAATTGATAACATCAAATAAACTGGGCTTTTTAAGTGTTCCAGATTTGGTTATTTGATTAATTTTCAATGTCAATATCCTCGGCGTCCGAGCTTGAATTAGTTTTGCTTGATAAGGCTCCACTGCAACTTGAAAGGGAGGGGATAAAAAGAGAGAAGATGGCGAGAGGGTGGGGGTGGGCGATTATTCGAGGGAGGCGATTTATGGAGGGACGGCTATTATTCGAGGACTGTTTTGTGGGAGACATGGTTGAGTATGACAATCCTGTCACATCTGAATTGCCCAGAGGGCTATGTCATGGTGAGCAAAGATCGAGCTGGCTCGCTGATCGGTGGTGGTGTTACTATGATTTGAAGGAATTGGAAAGGTAAAGCGTTGAATGTCACTGATAGCTTGGAATTTGAGTCCTTAGTTGGAGAACATGTCGCTTTGTAGACAAGATGACCTCGTATAGCAGACGAAAATTGGCCTTCATAAACAAGCTTCGAACTCCAAAACAAGGGATTGTCAGGATAAGCCATGATCGTACACGTTTGCTAATTCTTGCTCATAAGGTGCCCTGCCCCTGTTTTATGGTTCAAGAGTTTTGCTTCGCAACATAAAAGAAATAGACGCCCTTTTTCGAATAAGCGCCCTCATTTGAGAAACCATAACTATATAAGCGCTTCGGGCGCTAAATCGAGTCATTACGCTAAAGAATTTAATGGCATTGTCTTTTGTTTAAATTATTCAGTAGTTTGTTTCCTCCTCTCTAAGCGTTATGCTTTTGAAGTGGCGCAACGGTTTGGCTGCCTCAGTGATCCTGGAGGCTACGTGCTGGGCAGGTTGGGAAGACACCTGGCCGTCCATGTGGGGGGGGGGGGGGTTAGGCAATTCACTTACACTATTGCCGTGCATGCTGACAGGGAAAACAACAAAAACCAACTTGCAAAACAAACCTAAGTGAAGCTAAGTGTGACTTTTAACTTTGTTAAATGGTATAACAAATTTCAGACCAGTTATAGTTTAGATCACGAGAAGTGCTTTCTCAGGCTTAAACACAGCAAACCAAGGCATCTTTCCTAATTTGAAACTTGAACAGCGAGCTTACCGAACAGCTCAAAACTCTTCATCCTTAACGGTCTGTTTATTGTTCTGTAACAATAATTTTTTCTATTTAATACAAATTGTGTTCAGCGACCAAACTTCCATAATTATAACATGATAATATTACATCATCCATTAAGTGAAAAATGGCTTTAACACTCTGCGGTTGTGTTTTCACTGAGATAATTTTAGCTAGACAAAGCCAAAAAAGTCCAGAAATACAGTTAAAACACCTCGTCTTGTGTTAGGCGAGTTAAACATGCTCACTGTTTTTTAAGCTTTATGACCTAAAAATTACGCAAAAGATGGTATAACTTGTCCTGATAAATACCGCAGCCAATCGAGTTACGCGTTGTGACAGACGCCTGCCAAACGACCGGCGAAATGAACATTTTACTAGAGGTTGTAGTGAAGGGCTACCACCAGTGCCCATTTACAATAAGGACGGGTGAATCTTTTGTCCTCGATGAATAAATCGACAATTAATAGGTAAGACTTTTAATTACTAATTCGTAGCCAGTAGTAGCGCAAACGCATCTGAAATCATTATTAAAGGATTGCAATTGACGATCGATAAAACGGATGAAAATTGATAACAATTGATACTCACAACTCTTTCGATCTTCGACATTTATCGATTACCGACACTGCACGAAAATTGGATTCACACAACTTTACTCGGTGTAAATATGGTGCAAAAAAGTGCAAACTAGGGGGAAATTAAAAGCAAAGATGGTAAATACCGCATCTGCTTGCCAGTTTACGTGGGGGTGTAAATTTTAGGGCAAATGCGGTATTTACCATCTTTGCCCTTTATTTAACCTTAGTTTGCACTTTTTTGCACTAAATTTGCACTGAATAAAATTAATTTGGTGTAAATCCAATTTTTCGTGCACATATTGTGTTCAGCGGCCAATCTTCCATAATTATAACATGACAATATTACTTCATCCATTAAGTGAAAAATGGCTTTAACACTCTGCGGTTGTGTTTTCACTGAGTTAATTTTAGCTAGATAAAACCAGAAAAGTCCAGAAATACAGTTAAAACACCTCGCCTTGTGTTAGCGAGTTAAACATGCTCACTGTTTTTTCGGCTTTATGACCGAAAAATTACGAAAAGTTAGACAACCACGCGAGATGATGCAACTTGTCCTGATAAATCAGAAAGGCGTTGCGCGTTGTGACAGATGCCTGCCAAATGACCGGCGAAATGAACATTTTATATTACTAGAGGCTGTAGTGAAGGGCTACCACCAGAGCCCATTTACAATAAGGACGGGTGAATCTTTTGTCCTCGATGAATAAATCGACAATTAATAGGTAAGACTTTTAATTACTAATTAGTAGCCAGTGGTAGCGCAAACGTATCTGAAATCATTATTAAAGGATTACAATTGACAATCGATAAAATGGATGAAAATTGATGACATTTGTAAAAATTGATACTCACAATTTTTTCGATCTTCGATATTTATCGATTACCGATATCAATCGCTTAATTAATATCGTTTAAAATCGAATAGAAGCCATTATTTCGACTAAAGAGTTTCATCGATTTGGCACGGTGGGTTAAACCCACGCTACTTACGGCAATTACTGCTGTTTTGCTGCTACATTTTGAAACAGGATTACAACATTACTTCCTATCCTCTGACTCTTTAGAGACACTATTCAACTGCATTCATAAAATAGCGAGAAGCATTAAACGAAAACACATTCAAAGCGCTTCGTCTCTTAATATTTTTTAACGTGGCGCGCTTTTTAAATTTGAATCCTCTGAGTTCTTCCGAGCTAAATTTAAAAGTGAAAACAGCTAGTAATCGTCGGTATGTCAACAATCACCCAGAAAAAGTGTTCCCCTCAGCAGCAAATCGACCACAGTGAAAACATAGCCTCCCCCGCAGGCGTTTCTAGGGGAGCTCGTATTTCTTCCCTCTCCGAAGAAATACTAGCCTGCGAACAGCAGACGTATTTCCGGTCGTCGCTTCTGTCCCTCCGAAAAATAGGGAACTTAAGATAGAGACATTTTCGGGGCGACGGCAACTTCAACCGGACGTGACATCATCATTTGTTGGATATTGCGCATGCTCGTGCTCACCACCTTGCCGTCCTGGTCCCGTCGGCGACGTGAAACTGGTCTGTTTGGCGTTGTGGCGAAAACGTGAGTATTTAACTGTCATTTCAATCAGGTTTGTTGCGTTTAGCAACCAACATTTTGCAGATTATCGTTCGTAAATTGTCCTTGTTTTCTTTGAGGCACATTTCAAGCTCGATTTCCAAGCTATGTTCGCTAAACTTACATCTTTGAATGTTTCTATGTTTTCATTTCACAGGGTCAAGATCCAACTTGGCAAACAGCCAACCGTAAGTGAGCTTGACATGGGACAAAAATTTTCCCACGAGCCAAATAAAGGTATCCAGACAAAAATATGAACTCCGATATTTCAATTGTGTGTTTTTAGTTCGCTCTTTTCGTTAGAACATCGTATAAATGAAACGCATTGAAAATTATATAGAATAGTAGGTAATACCATGTACTAACTCGGCGTGGGAATACTGAAATAAAGTTGTTGCCGTTGTTGTTGTTGTTGCATGCAAGTATTTCCCGGGAATTATTTCAATGCCAAACTAAGAATACGGTTCCTTGGTAGCATTTTAATGTTCCTGTAATTTGCAAGGCTTCGGCAAGCCTGTGGAGATCATTTTTTTTCAACACGAAATTCTGCCTTGAACTCAGCTGCATCCCGCATGTTTTTTAGCGTGAACGGATCGTAACTGTCCCGAGGAAAATCGGGATTTTTGGACTCATAATTTTTCCACAAAACGAGAAACTCTTCATGCGATACATGTTGTCTGCATAGCAAATATTTATTCTCTTAATTCTTTATGTGAAGCCATATTTTCCTCTTCGGTATTCTTCTAATTAAAGGCGCCGTCCTTCTGAGTTCACTGCGATCTTAAAGTTCTATTTTTGACGGGGAGCGACGGCTGCCTTAGTTCCAGGCTTTCTCTGCCAGTCCGGTCGCCGTCGCCCCGAAAACGTCTCCATCTTAAGTTCCCTAATAAAGAAGCGACGACCGGAAGGACGTCTGCTGTTCGCAGGTAACCCCCGCAGGCGTTTTTAGGGGTCAGCTCGTATTTCTTTAGTCTGCGAACAGCAGACGCATTTCCGGTCATCGCTTCTCTCCCTCTGAAAGTTCGTGAAAACACTAACGGTGTAACCTGCATAGCAGGCGCTTGGAAGTAGTGGGCACAAGAAAAAACGGGCGCGCGAGAAGGAGACACGCGAGCCCGTTCTCTCTTTCGCCCACTACTTCCAAGCGCAACCGGTGAGTCATTTAGTAAGGGTGTGATGGAATACAATAGCTTACAATGTTTGGTGCACCCTGGATAATAGCTATTTTTCACAGCTGATTTGAAACTTTAAAACAGACGAATTAATTAAAATGAATTAATACGTACAAGAAATTTACCATTGATTTTGAAAGTACAGTTTGTAGCATATCTTAATGATTTATCAAACCCCTAAATTCGCGAAACCCCCGATAACTGAAAAAAAAATGACTTCCCTTTCCCAGGCAAATAGTGGAATTTTATCTCGGTTTTTTTCGAACTTCCAAATAGCTACAATATCCGCCGTGCTTACCTGCAACACCATCTACAAGTACTCCTTTCTTTCTTAACTTCAATGCACGTCTTATTGCGTCAACAGTTAAAGGATTATGACTCACACTCAGCTGCCTCAGCTCCCTGAGGTCACCAATCTCAGCAGGTAGTTCAGTTAGTTTATTGTTACTCAAGTGCAGACTTTGAAGCTTGGTCAGCCTCTGTATACTGGTAGGTAAACCAACCAACTGGTTGTTGCTCATCCACAGCCAACTCAGCTCCCTGAGGTCACCAATCTCAGCAGGTAGTTCAGTTAGTTTATTTCCACTCAAGTACAGCCTTTCAAGCTTGGTCAGCCTCTGTATACTGGTAGGTAAACCAACCAACTGGTTGTAACTCACCCACAGCTCCCTCAGCTCCCTGAGGTCACCAATCTCAGCAGGTAGTTCAGTTAGTTTATTTCCACTCAAGTTCAGCACTTCAAGCTTGGTCAGCCTCTGTATACTGGTAGGTAAACCAACCAACTGGTTGTTATTCACCCACAGCCTCCTCAGCTCCCTGAGGTCACCAATCTCAGCAGGTAGTTCAGTTAGTTTATTTCCACTCAAGTTCAGCCTTTCAAGCTTGGTCAGCCTCTGTATACTGGTAGGTAAACCAACCAACTGGTTGTAACTCACCCACAGCTCCCTCAGCTCCCTGAGGTCACCAATCTCAGCAGGTAGTTCAGTTAGTTTATTTCCACTCAAGTTCAGCCTTTCAAGCTTGGTCAGCCTCTGTATACTGGTAGGTAAACCAACCAACTGGTTGTTATTCACCCACAGCCCCCTCAGCTCCCTGAGGTCACCAATCTCAGCAGGTAGTTCAGTTAGTTTATTTCCACTCAAGTTCAGCCTTTCAAGCTTGGTCAGCCTCTGTATACTGGTAGGTAAACCAACCAACTGGTTGTTATTCACCCACAGCCACCTCAGTTCCCTGAGGTCACCAATCTCAGTGGGTAGTTCAGTTAGTTTATTTCCACTCAAGTTCAGCCTTTCAAGCTTGGTCAGCCTCTGTATACTGGTAGGTAAACCAACCAACTGGTTGTTATTCACCCACAGCCCCCTCAGCTCCCTGAGGTCACCAATCTCAGCAGGTAGTTCAGTTAGTTTATTTTCACTCAAGTCCAGCCCTTCAAGCTTGGTCAGCCTCTGTATACTGGTAAGTAAACCAACCAACTGGTTGTTATTCACCCACAGCCACCTCAGCTCCCTGAGGTCACCAATCTCAGCAGGTAGTTCAGTTAGTTTATTTCCACTCAAGTCCAGCTCTTCAAGCTTGGTCAGCCTCTGTATACTGGTAGGTAAACCAACCAACTGGTTGTTGCTCATCCACAGCCTCCTCAGCTCCCTGAGGTCACCAATCTCAGCAGGTAGTTCAGTGATATTGTTGCTATTCAATTCGAGCACAATAAGATTTTTCAGCTTGCTGATACTTCCTGGTAATTTAATCAAGTTATTTTTTTTCAGCACAAGATTCTCTGTTTCACTCAGTTCAGTGACTGCATCAGGTACCCTGGATAGTCCTTTCTCTTTTAGATCCAAAACTGCTAATCCACCTTTATATTTTAAGTAAGCTCTCAATTTTGTCTTGGAATAATGCTCCATGTTTTAAATTGTTAATAAAAAGTCTCGACAGTTCTTCTCACCATCTAGAAATAACAAATTAATAGTGACCTGGTATAGAAAAATCAAAATCATATTACAGTATAGGTGAATTTTACAGAATCAAAATAAAAGAAATCTAGAACAGATGCTGTTAGTGGATTCAAAAAATCTTTTATTAGTAGACTAGGGTATCTAAAAGATAGTAATGCTGCGGGAAATTCTGTTGATAATGTCATTAGTTAGGCAGTGATCCATCTCTTGCATGCGACTTAAAAGAATCAAAAATGACAATAAACTTTCCCCTTTCCTTGCTGTATAAAGCTCAAGGGTTTCTTTTCTGCTTTTTTAACTAGCTAACATTTTCTTCCACTAAGTGTCTCCTCTTTCTCATTTCAATTCAGTCTAAACTATTGTTGATGACCACCAAGAATGCAAAGATTGAGTCAGGTCATCTTAGGGAGGTCGTCACTTATAATATTGAATCAAACAACAGTGGATCCCTTCCTAGAAGATTGAGATCCCAACACGTCTACATTTTGGAACAGAATTCATCGCGTGCAATTTCTAATCTGCAATATGTGTATAGTTTCATGGTGTCACTAAAAGATTTTCACATACTTTCAGTAGTGTACTACATACAACCAACAACAAAAAAATCACTGACCATGATACAAGGCAACAAATGATGTCACTATTGTGTACTCCTCAGACTGTTTGGAATAAAGGCCTTTAGAAACACTGATTCCCAATTGTGGCTACGTATGGGATGTGTATTATGGGTACGTGAACATGTTTGTGATGAGGTACATGTAATATATAATAATTATATTACATCATAAGGTGACAAATGATTTGATTTCTGCGGATCTGGAAATAATCCCAGGAGGGGGTGGTTAATTGATTTTCAGTGGCAGGCAATGGGGATGCCTATTAATTTTGTCGTATTTATGCTTATTTGAGGGGGAAACACTTATTTGAAGGGGTCGCTTATTTCATTTTTTAGTATTTCAGCCTCAAGATAGCATTTGTCTTTCTTTCACACAGACAAAATAACTAAGCAATGAAACTACAACACATTTTTCAATAAATACCCAAGTGTGTTATGATCATGTCCTTAGCTTGGAACTTACCATTAAAACTATCCTCCAGCACTATAATTATTCAGAGGAGCTGAGTCATTAACATCTGATCCTGTGATGTCCCCAATCTCTTGTGACTGTAACTTTTATGCCACCCTTTTGAAAGATAAAAGTCCAGTATACCATGTATTTAGTAAGGCAGGGTGTTAAAGGTGGCCGCTTATATGAAGGGGAGGGACGGAAGCTTACACAAACACTATCCTATTACTGCGCATGTACCAAACTTAGATTTTCTGACAGGATGTTGAGAATTCAAAAGATCCACATAGTGTCATATAGAACCTTCCAAAATCTTTGCATCATGTTCGATTGAGTTACACCACTAAACCTTCTCAAAACTACAGATCAATGTTCCCATTAACTTTTGATTGTAGTGAAATTGGGAATTTTTTAGCGTTGCTTTCATTTAGATACAACAAAGAAATGGACAAGACATGGATGCTACTGAAAAGATCTTGCAACGACATCTTAGTAAAATTAGAAAAACCTCCTTAACAAATATGACCAACTAAATTAACCAAACAGCTGGCCCTTGATGTATAGAAAAACAAGTGCAATGAAATCATAATAAATTATTATATTTGACTAATCTTTGAGATGCCTTCATCATGCAAAGATTGCATTTTTATTTACAATATTTTTATATTATTTTTTTCTTATTTTAACATTTGAAGCCTAAAAGGGTGGTACTTATTTGAATGGGGTGCCTATTTGAGGGGCGAAGGGAGGAGAGGGGGGTTAATTTGAGCAATTTAGGGTAATTAGTGCCTTGGGGTTGTCTATCTTAAGCAATGCATTGATGTCTTGATTATTGTTTTTATTGCCCAACTTTATTGTCTCAGGAATTCTGTTTTGCCGCAGTGAATTCTTGAGAATTCAGCAATTCAGCAGGGGAATTTTGAGATTTAATTTTTGGTCCAGGGACTCTTTCACTTGTAGTAGGGAGGACAATGGATTTCTGCTCTTATATTCCACTGGCCTTAAATCTATGGTACCCCCTCAGGCAATATTAGATCATTATTTACCCCTGTAGCCTAGCTCTTTCTCTTGGGCAACACGGTCTATTCTAATTCACATTTTTATACTATTTTTACTATTTTGGTGATTTTTACAAACGTATTTTAAACACTACATTTGCTTAAGCAGATCGAAACCTACATACATAAGAGACTATGTCAATTCTATGTACCTAATTTCTGTTTGAACTCTAGTTAAAGCTTGTGTATGTGATATGTTTTACCTATTCAAATACTATGAAAATCCTATTTCAAACCTATGCAAAGACTATTTGTTCTGTGTTTTCCCTTTTTTTTAATGCTATGCAAAGTATATGTCACCTTTAAAAAGGCTTATATGTTTTTCATATGTTTTTTCTATTTCTAGGCTATCTAAATTCTAAGCAAACCCTATTCAAAAGCTATTTAATCAACTGTTCCCTGTTCCATTTTACTATGTAAACTCTATTTCAGTCCTATGTGAAGGCTATTTATTTTCTATGATTTTTCTATGAGGTTGACTATGAAGTCTAAAATCTCTTTCCACAAGCTAAGTAAACTGTATGTAGCTATGTGGAAACTATGTCATTTCTTCCTTTATTCCTACCTTTAAAAACTGCATAGCTTTTAAGTAGGTTCCGTTTGACTAGCGAAAACATAGCATTTTCGATACAAAAAACATAGTCCTGGCATAGAAACAACATAGGATCTCGTTAAAGCAATGTATGAGTGATTAACATAGGTTTTGCATAGCTTTGTGACATAGCATTTGCATAGATTCTACATAGTGTCTGATTCTACAAGGGTAGGTTCTTTGCATAACTTGATCACATGATCAACTTTCCATAAACATGAAAACAGTTCACTTTTGAAAAAGTTTGTTAGCACAAGCTGAAAGAGCATATTAAGGTATTAAGTAACCTAAGCGTTTTCAGGCATATATCTCAAAAGTAACGATTGCAACGGCCGCCGAGACTTAGAAGCATTTGTATGGGAAAAGCAACTTTCAAATTGCCTGTTGTGAATTAAAAGGAGATTTGAGCCCTGCAAGAGTGATTTTCTGTAAAATTGGAACTTCGGCCTGACATAATACCTCATCGATTTGGCTGATTGTTGGCATGTAGTCTTAGAATGGTGTCCTAAATACTCATGAATACATATTCTAAGGTTTGAATTCTCTTTGGTTTCAAAGATACAGGCATGACAGTTTTGATGAGGCCTCGACAGGCCGCCATGTTGGTAAACTCAAGAAGGTTTACAATAATTAATTCTAGCCTTATCATTAAAATTTAACTTAATCGTGACTCATGCAGTTGCAAAGAACTATCCTTCCTTCTTTCTTTTACCTACTCTTCGCTGAAAATGGTTAAGCCTGAGCTATGAACAGATAAAACTTCTCACAGCACTTTTTCGGTACTTAAAAGGTACACAAATTTGGTAGAAATTGCGAGGTCAAAATCACCCATGCCACATGGATTTAGACTAACCCATTTTAACTAAACATAGTTTGTTTATAGATAAGTTAGACTGTTGAATAAAATAATTGGGCAAACGTAATAGAACAGAACGATAATTGCATGAATGCGCAATGGTTCAGCCACTTGACTGCTAAAACTTCCAAACAATTAATTCGGTGAATATTTGAAAAGAAAATTCTTAAAAATTGATCGTGCCTCTTAGAACCTATCTATCGCTTAAAAAACCCTCACTTGTAATGTAAAAAGATGATCTTTTGTTTCTGATGTTGCAAAGAGCTTGAAATATGCGCTAAAATGAAAATTATAAATTTTGTTACTCACAGTTAACTAGCTCAAGTTCACTCATTGATTTGTCAGACCAAGCGGGAGCCGCTCATGTGCACAGTTACAATTTTCTCTGTAGTATTTCGCTGTATACAGCTGCAAATAACATATTTTCTTAGGCAAAGATAACGCAAACTTTGTCAATTTTTATCAAAAGTCTAGAAAAACAAACCATGCACTGCGGCTTTACACAAATTATGTGGCATTAATTTCTCATAACTTTTAATTTTCTAGCAATCTGGAACCTTTAAGAATTCCCTCCCCCCCATTTGAGTGAACTATCATTTGTTCGGATTCACAATAATTTTCAAATGGTGACAAAGTGAAATTTGAAATGACATTTTATGGTGATATTTTAAGCTTCTTTTTTTTTTTCCCCGATAGCTAGAAATGTTTTGAATGTAAAGGCTATAAAGTATTGGTGTTTTTCACGACTCTGCTTGTAGACTGACCTCACCACCAGTATTACATCACGGACATAAATTCTGATTCGAAAG